TTTCATCCTACGACATGATTGAATGATCGGAGGAACATAAATGCATGCGACTTACGCGATGTACTGACAGAAGTAAAATTATCATCGATGCTCCACAGAGAAAATTATCGTGAAGATCCTCATCAAATAGATGGAAGTGAACGCCGTGAAAAATTTCTTAAAAAGCATAAAGACACAATGTTATTTGTGAAAATTTAAATTTTGGTATAATGATAAAAAATTGGAACTAATAATTTGAAATACTTTTATTTTATAATTATAATTTTACATTTGACTTTAGAAAAAGAACTATAAAGAATAAAATTTAAATACAAGATGCTAAAGCACTTACATTTTTAGTTTTTCAAGCATCATAAAATTCTTGGAAGATTAGGGGAAGTGGAAACTATAGAAGAGCTGTAACAAAACATGAAACATTAGAATTATTTAATAGCAAAACAAAATCTTGAGTTGGAGATAATAAAAGATTCTTACATTCTTGGCTTCAGAGCCACCATTGAATTTTCCTCAAAAAATGCAAAAAATTGTATGTATGCTGTGAAGCGTCTATAACAAACATCAAATTATATATAATATCAAATTATATAATATCAAATTTAACTTTGTTGTTAAATTTAAAAAATTGAATAAATTGAAATACAGTTCGTAAAACTATCTTACGATCTTACTCTCTTAAAGGGACACTGACTCTAATACCGAAAACGGATATTGAATAAGACAACATGAAAAAACAAAAATAAAAGACTACCAACTAGCGGACTCATTGATTCAAACTTCACGAATTACAATTTAAAGAAATTAATAATTGAATTTAGTAAAAGCCATTTTGCTCAGAAAAATATAAAAATATTTCGCAACAAACCGATAGATTAGAAAATGTTATGAACCTAATACATGTTATTACAAAATTCGCCAAATAACTCTCCGTGATACGTCTCGTCTCGCAATCGAGAAAATAGTAATGGATGGAACGAACTTGTACAGGCACGATAATTAAGACGAATATAAGCATTGTGTTCGTGTTGTTGTTTTGAATTTCGAGCTTCAAGGCCTTCTATGCCTTACTTTGAGAATTGAACAATTTTATTATATTGCGCAGTAAAAATTATTATTTTAACTATTAAATATTATATTATATTGCGATATAAAAATTATTATTTTAACTATTAAATACGTACATCCTTAATAAATTATTGTTGAATTTAATACAATTGTTAAGAATTACGCAGTATTAAGTTAAAGGATCAACAAATAAGTAGAAAATATTATAATAAAAATGTGTGTGTAAGAACATATAATAAAATACGTGTATATAACAATGAGTTAGTCAATTACAAGATTACAATATTTGTACTGGTTAGAATTGAAATTAAATTTTAGTATAAAATTATAAATAACTTAACATGGTACATTCTGTTTAAATGTTTATATCCCATTATTTTGTTAATTGTTGAAAATTATGTGTGACAATTATTTGGTTAAATCTTACCTTGAGTTGAAGCCATAAATGCACGTTTTATCTTAAAAATTCAAAACACAAACACAAATCTAACAATTATTGATTTAAATTTTTGCCTGAGAACTTCTGGATGACACTTCTTTCTGGGTAATTTTTCTAGATAATACTTTCTTCTTTGCGGATGAGATGTGCTTCTTTCCGCCATCCTTTCCGCTTAAAAATCGATCGTGAAAAATATCGATATATCCGAGAATCGTAGGAAATGTATTGCGTGTTTCACCGCTGTTTGGCGCTGTAACCTTTAACTAATTTAAACTCAATACGCGCGCATTTTGAACGAAATGTTAACTTGGAATAAAAAATAAATATTTGTAGAAACATTTCTTTGATACTTCCAAGCTTTTATAAAATCGAGTTTGCAGAATTCATTCAGACTCTGAAGTTACACACTAAAATAAATAAAAAAACGTCACATCTAATTCATATTTAATTGTTATATTAAGTTCTGAAAATATATTTCAATCAATTTTTTTCTAGTACTTTTAAGTAGATGTAAATAATCAAATATATAATGAATTTTTCATCTTAATTTCCATCAATCACTATTTTAAATGGTTATATTCCTTCGTTGCTGTACCACCACCTTCAATTCAATAAATAATTCTCAGAGCAGAACGTACTACAACACTGTCCATATTTTTTTATTTTAGCTCTCATCATTAGTAGTGCAACAAACGAGGTGTATGAAATACTTCGTTCATATACTCGTAATACTTCGTCTGGTCTGTAGTAATAACGATTAATTCCACCTATTCACCACTACGCGGCGCAGTATTTTAATTTTAATTAAAAAATACTAATTAGTGAATTAATGTATAAATTATCTTACAGTTAGACCCATATTTTTAAAATGAATACTTGTTAAATAATATTTTCACATTGTTTACATATCGATCATTACTCCTGTATTTTAATATTTATATATTTTTTTATTAAATTTTTAAAAAATTCTTTTTATTAAATATTTTTTTCACTGAGAAAAATATGACATGCATATACGAGTAAACGATCAAAGAAACTTCCTAGTTCCTAATATATATAGTTGGCTATCATGAAACCAACAAACTAGCTCGATCTTCCCTGATAAATCGTGTATAAGAAAACGTGGTAATATTCGTCAAAATGCAAGTGCCTCCTATTTTTATGGAATTGCCCTTAGAAGATCAGGTAATTGATGAAGATATAAAAATATCTAAGATTCGAAAAGAAATTTTATACAAAATCTAAATGACATTCATATATGTAACTCAAAAATATAGGTTATATTCAATTTTTTATAATTCTCTATTATTATTTAATTTTAAACTTTATTTTGACAGAATTGATGTTAAAACAAATTTTAATTAAATTTCTGTGTTTTAAATTAACGATTTATTTTCAGGCGCAAGAACTAAGAATATATTTTAAAAATTTAGGAGCCGAGATAAGCGAAGAAAAGTCTCCTAAAGGAATAGAAGATGATTTACATAAAATTATCGGTGTTTGCGAAGCTTGTTTCAAAGAAGGGAATGAAAGTGAAATAGAAACAGTTCTAAATGATATTGTATCTATTATGATTGTGGTAAATGTTATATATTTTTGAATTGTAATATGTCAACATATGTATGAATAGCTTAGTATCTTTAAATTAATTTTATATATTATTTTTTTAGATTCCTACTGAACGGGCAGAAAATCTAATATTAGCATTTTGCGAGAAACTAACGAAAGCTCCTGGTTATAAATTGGGTTTAGTATGTCTAAAAGCGTAAGTTATATGAATACTGTTAATATTACTAATTCTTCCATATAAAAATTAATTCAAAATGTTTCCTTAGATTATGGTTATTATTTCAATCTCTTCCTGATGATTCTCCTATGAGATATCATGTTTATTATCATTTAGTTCAAATTGCTCGCAATGTGGATCAAGTAAAAGCTGTATATGGTGGAATAGATCAATTAAAACAACAGTTTGCATCACTGCCACCATCAAATGAACAAATGCAAAAATTACTTCGATTACTTCATGAAGTACTTTTGAGTTGCAAACAGGGGTAAATCAAGTTTCACTACAGTAATATATTATACTTAACAATACAACATATAATATTATATATATAATTATTACTATCATTATTATTATTACAGAGAACAAGCTGCTGCTGTTATGGTAGAACTCTTAGGCACGTATACTGCAGAAAATGCTTCTGCAGCTAGAGAAGATGCACAACGTTGCATTCTAGCTGCATTGGCTGATCCAAATACATTCCTACTAGATCCATTGTTAGCATTAAAACCTGTAAGATTTTTGGAAGGGGAACTCATTCATGATTTACTTCTTGTCTTTGTACAAGATAAATTACCTGCATACTTAGATTTTTATCAACATCACAAAGAATTTGTAGAACATCAGCTTGGTATGTAAAGAGCTAATAAGATTTAAAATATGAATTAATTGGAAATATAAATCATGTTTTTTTTTATTAGGATTAAATCACGAACAGAATATGAAAAAAATGAGGTTATTAACGTTTATGCAACTGGCAGAAACAAATCCTGAAATGTCGTTTGATACAATTCAGGAAGAATTACAAATTAATGAAAATGAAGTAGAAAGTTTTATTATTGATGGTAAATTATTAAATTAATTATATTACTATAGCTTATAACGTGCAATTAGAATATATATTCAACTGTAAAAAAATATTTCATCATACAAAAAAATCACCCTGTATAATTAACATGAATCTCTAAATTTCTTTATAAAGTAGAGACAATGTGTCCAGGGTATATTAACGAATCAGTACTGGCTTAATAAAATTAAATTTTTATTAAGTTATCGAAATATTCGACATTTATGTGAGATATTAAGTCTACGTGCTTTTATACACATATTTATAAAGCATATAAGAGATAAACTTTTATGTTTCAGTTTTAAAAACAAAACTTGTTAGAGCTCGTATGGATCAAGCTGGACGTAAAGTTCTTATTTCAAGTACTATGCATAGAACATTTGGTAAACCACAATGGATGCAACTGCGCGATTTACTTGCAGCTTGGAAAGCAAATTTAACTGCTGTACAAGAAGGTATGAAATCTGTAGCTGCTGCCCAAATGGAACTTGCTGGAAAAAATAAAGCTTCCATTACCCATTGATGACTTAATTTATGTGTATGTAATTAAAAATTTACGTATACAAACATTGATTGAAAATTAAATTTAATTTTTTAACTAATTTACAATTTTATTTGAATAAATATATGCGCCGTATACTACAGTATTATGTTTACGATTAAGTTATTTACATAATTAAAATGATTATAAAAAATTATTTATAAGATTTATAATTCTGGTGGTTTTTTAAAAATTGTACAGAATACATACATCTTATTTTTAATTAGAGAGCGATAAAAACATTAACAATTCTCACAAACTCTTAAAACATCAATTATATATTAAACTATTTATAGTAAAATAGTTGATTTAACAGGCTTTTTACCGCCCTTCTTTTGTACATGTATATAAAGTATTAAAAAATTGAGATAAATGAGGATTTGTGGTATGAATAATCCTAAAATGATGATGGTAATAATTCAATAGCACACTTTCTATTTTTATTTTAGCAACATTTTATTTTCATTAATCAATCTTTATACGTGATATAGAACATTTTTGACATTTTTGGAGCATTTCTCACATTTTACAACAAATTGATCAGTGAACATTCACTTATAACCGTGCATTACATGATTAAAAAAGCCACATAGGTTTTGTACTAATTTACTTAATTGTTTTTAATCTGTAATTTGTTGCTTATCATATGATACTATTAACTGGTACAAAAATTACAAACCTTAAAAAACTAATGATATAAATCTATAAAAAAGTAACACAGCAATGTTTTGAAGAAAATTCAAAATATAAAAGTAAAATAAAAATATCTATTGAAATCTTTATCATTATATCTTTATACAAAAACATATGTAAATATGATTTTATTTTTTTATCTGCATGTCTTACATACATTTCTGCATATTAACATAGATATACGTTCTAAGAGTGTTTCATATATGTGTTTATAAAAACAATATATATGTATATTATAGCAAAAATGTTTGAAACGTAATACATATTTTTATGATATAAATTTTTTTGTTTATAATTGAATGAAATTGTCAATTAATCAAAAAACAAACATGTTAACATACAGTATAATATAATAAACACAGAAAGAAATTTTAAACAATTATTTTCAATTTCTGTACTTAAATTTAAATGAACTAAACGCAGCAAGTTACATGTTACTATAGAAAAATATTATCTAATTGACAACAAATTTTCTTATATGTAGGAAAAAGATTTGTATCAAGAGTCAAATGAATCTAATAAAACAGTATTACATTAATGTAATTTATAACAGTAATTTGAAATTAATAGCGCAACTTATAATGAATTATTCTACATTTAATGATAATAGTATGTTGTAAAAATAATAACTATTATTGTAAAATTATTATTTTAATAGCTTAGTCACTAATTAATGCGTAAGAAACTTTCTTTGCCCCTTCTTTTCTTTCTAGTGCGATTTTATTTTAGATATGGCATCGTAAATCTCACGTTGTATTGATTCTTGAAATCTAAATATTTTTCTTTTTACGTTATATGATCAGTAACAAATATATAGCACATTTATATAACATAGCCTCAAATATATGCAGGTATGAAAATCTTTGTCTTTTATAAACTCAATATATTAAAGCTAAGAGAGAAAGAGAGATTTGAAATAATATTTTACTCTAAAATATATTGAAAATATGCGCGAAATATCAATATTCCCATACTTTTCTATGTTTATTCTGCCTTTATGTACTTACATCAACATCTTGTAGCAATTATTGAAAGACAATTATGGATAATAGGTACTTTATATGTATATTAAAGTTTTAAGATGAATTCATTCTCTTTCTTTGAAATTATTGCAAAGTCAGATTTGAGTAGAGAAACGAGGACGTGGCAAATCTCCAAATACTGTATCACCATGAACACTCTTCGCTAGAGCTTTAATTGAAGCTCGAATATTATGTGGATCATGCGGATCTCTTGAAAGCTGTAATAATATTTTATTCTTTTAAGAAAGATATTATCTTTAAAAAATGCTCAATAAATATTATAAAGTTGAACTTGATCAATATAAAAATAAGAATAATTGTAAATAATAGATATATATTACACATATTTATACCTGATCATCATCTTCATCCTGAACTGTTCTACGGACAAATGACGGGAAAGGTGGAACACTAACTGGTAATGACTTAGCTAATGTAGGATGGCCGCCTCTTTGTCCTCTTGGCATGTGAATACCTTCATCTTGACCTGAATCTAAGTATAATATGAATGACTTATATAAATTAATATTTATATAAATTGAAAGTCAAACTTACCATCTGTATCAGATCCTTCTTCTGAAGATTGAACTTGATCAGTATTAAGAGTGTCTTCCATTCCTTCCAAAGGAAATAAAGCTTCTGTGTCAAAATTAGTTGATTCCTTAGTGTATATATATATTCGATCTTTCTTATCTACATTACCATTCTAAAAAATATATACACGATTATTAAATTGCATAATTACAATTATTCATGAATATAAATTAAAATGAGAAAAAACATACAACAAGTGAATTAGAAGAATTTTTAGCACCAGTTTCATATTTAACATTAGAATTTGCAATAATTTTTGTCTCATTTGATACTATTTGTGAAGTGTTTACTGTATTTGTTGTAGAGGTAGTTAAACTGGTTGTAAAACTATCTGGTGTTGTAGGAGGTGTTTCTATATTATCAGTTAATCTTTCTTCTCCTTTACAGATTAATCTGAAATAAGTATTTTATGTAGAAACTTAATAAATATAAAATCTAAAAATGTTCTACAGTAAAAATATAATTATATTATTAGATGAAACCTTCTTAATAATCTATGCTCATTATGAGCTCTTTCACGAAATTGCTCTAACAATTGATATTGTTCTGTTGTAAAAGCACGAATTTTATTTTCTATTTCTGCAGACTGCCTTTGAACAGCTTCTTCAAGCTGCTGTTGGAGACCACCCAAAGCCACTTGTACATTATTAGGTAACTGCGACACTGGACAGATAAATTAAAATGTATGACAAATATTCACATATGCAAAAAAGAAAACAATATATTATTTCTTTCAGATTTTAGACTTGAATCACTAATTTAATTAATCAATATATCAATTTACCAGAAAATTTAGTAGGTTGTTGAAAATAATCAAGTTCATCCAAAGTAAGAGCAATTACTATTCTAAACACTGAACTATAATCTGGATCAGACCTTAATTTATTTATTTCTTCAGGTGAAGTCTATAATAGAAAATATACATTTTACATAATATTTATTTATATTTTCTTATAGTTATAAATAATTTTATACTCACAACAATATCAGTATTAATAAGAACTAATGCAGCACCATGATCTCTATGCACAGCATGAGTGTACATTGAACAATTATAACAACGGTGAACGACCCATGATCCCACATTTCTTATTTCCATTAAACCCGGTTGTTCCTTAGTAATGCCTTCGAGTTCTGGTACCGATGCAAGATTCTATCAGAAATAGATAAATATTTTTAATGAAAAATCTGTATATTTTTAAATATTATAATCACGTTGTTAAATTATTATATTATAGAACAATATCATCAGCTACATGGCATTAACTATTACGAATTTATCATTTCATTTATATAAAAAAGTTTAAAATTCAAAATATTTAGAAATAATTGGTATTGAAATATGAATTCTTTTAAATTGATTATTTTACAAAAATGTGTAATAATTGTTACAAAAAGTTTTTACCTGCTGAAAAAAACCATCATTCTGTTCTTCGGGTGTCAATTCAATATCATCGATGTTGACTTTCTGCAGTTCAGTGCCCCTGGACTTTATGGACACGTTTAAACATTTGCATGTGATATGCATCTTATACAATCAGTATATAACGTTTTTTTAAAAAGAAACTTTAAAACCAGCACACTGTTTCACTATGCCGGGATTCATATATACCTATACAGTTCACTCGATACTTTTCGTAATGTTTAAAGTAAACTTTCAGGACTTTGTTCTCGATCACTTTCAATCTTTACAATTAGAATAGATAGAGACTTTAAGTAATTGCAAAAAAGAAAAAAAAACAATAGAAAATATAAAACAATAGTTTGACTCGAGGAATAAATTGTTGTAACAGCAAGTTTCGCGCTATTATTAAATTTCAAATATGTTGTTTTTGTTTAATTGAAGACCTTGTTGAAAAATTATTTACTATTTGAGAAAAGCAAGCACATTATCTATATTTGAGTACAATGGATTCGTGTATTATATGATTTGTCGGAGAGTTGATTTATATGCTATGACAAAGCCACACACTTAAAGCCAAGTAAACGAATTACCGAAGCTCGTGGCTATATCGAATATATATATGTATTTACGTCTGGAGTTCGTTTTCACCATATAAAGAGACAGTTTTGAATATTAATATTCAGAATTTTTGGATAATTGATATTAAAAAACTCTTTTATATTAAAAAATATTGAAGAATTCCAGTTAATTTTTACATTTCTTGGATATAACACACATATTTACAAGTATTTTTGAAAATGTTCGGAGCCTCTACTAAAAATAAACACAGATTTATAGGTACGTGCAGATGCGTACGTGATCACCCCAGACAAAAACATACTTGCTAGTCAATTGACCGACTTTACCATATGACATAGGGTTTTAACAGTTATGAGAGTAATGCTTATACATATATATACACACACGCAACAAGGTTATTTGAGATTATTCACATAATATATAAATCCTATTTTTTTCGTTAAATAATTTCTATTTCATTTTATAATAACAAATGTTACCAGTGAAACAAACATTTATTTACTAAATAACATTATGAAGTATTAACAAGATATCTTTTGATTGAAACGAATAACTAATTTTAGCAGATATATTCGGGATCTAAAGCAATTTCGAGCTTGATTTTCAAAACATTGTATTTCCAATTTTTCTTTTGAATGAAAGAAAATAGTAAAACAAAATACGATGTAGACTAACAAATTGTTAACAATAAGAATATTAATTATTATAAATACTTATATTTATGTATGAATTATAAGCAATGTTTTATTTTAAATATTTTATTTTAAATAATTGTTATATTTTCAAAATAATATTTTATATAATATATTATTTTACAAAGATATATGTAATATATGTTAATTTTTTTGTTTTGTATAATATTATCTATCGACATAAATTTACAATAGAATTATATACATTGTTATGATCATAAAATTTTCAATTGTTATATAACAGATTAAAAGAAACTATCACAATATATCTACAGGAATGTTATTTACAATAAACAATAAAATAATAAAAATATTGGAATGCTAATTCCATAGCAGTACAATAATAATATGTAACAAGTATATTTGATTTTATAATTTCATGTTAAGATATTCTTCTTTCCATTTGAAATATTCATTAAATCTAATTGCAGCATACCTATAAAGCATCATATAGGTAAAAATAATTTTTCTCTGAAGCAGCATAATATTATATTAGAATTGAATACTTATTCTATTGTAGATTTCAACAAAGATTAGAGAGCTTAATTTATAGATATTTCATATATACTTACTCTAAAAAGTCAAAATCAATTGTTGAATGTTCACTTTGTATGAGTCCCCAACAACCCCAAAAAAAATGTGATAAAAGAACAAATTTATTTACTTGTAAATACAGTAAATTAATTTCATTTTCAAATACACATTTTACATTATTATATTCCTGAAGATATATATTTAACCATGCCTTCTGTAATTGTTCTTTAGGATACAATGAATAATCAGGATTATCAATACCTAAAATTAAATTATATATGATTATAACTTAGTAAATTGCATTCTTATCATATATTTAGCATTGTATTTCTCAAATTAAGATATTTTGATTAAATTATGCTGTAAAAAATATTTACAATATCATATTTTAATATATATTTAAATTACCAGCAAATTCAGCAAAATGGTTAGCTATATCAAAAGCTTGATAATTATATCCTGTATATTCAAAATCAATAAATGTTACTGAGTTTTCCTTCTCATTGTAAAGTACGTTTGCCAAAAGTAAATCATTATGAGCAAACACTATTTCGTTATTCAAATTTATCAGTTCTTTTTTTAATATTTCATAATCTTGCTTTAAAACAACAAATGGTTTTATGAGTTTTTCAAACCTAAAATGATAATTAATAATAATTAACATATATGTTATACAAATAAATATAATATTTTATTACTCAATATATTACCTTGCTTGTTTGGTAATATTTGAAAATTGTTTTGGCATAATTTCCATAAATTTTTCTAACTTTTTCCAAATACAAACTTCTTTGGACATTTCAATATCAGGTTTGAGTCTATGCATTTGAGCCATTCTTTTAGCAATTAATACATATATATCAGGGTTTCTGACTGTTTCTATTGTAAGTATATTACCTTCAATAAACTGATAGGCTAAACCATTATTGAATGTAGCATAAATGGAATGTGTAAAACCTACTTTGTTTAATATCTGTTTAAAAAATCAGATCGGATACAAATACATATATTTTTATTTTTATTTTTTTTTAATAATTGTACTTACTCGAATATTTCTTGTTTCATCTTTTCTATTAATGAGCAAATCTGTCTTATGTCCATAAACTCTAACTAATACCATCTCATTATAATGCTCAGAATACCATACTCCTATAAGTTTATTTGTGATTCCATCTGTAAATATCTGAAAATAAAATTCATTGTAATAATATTTCAACATATATTTTGATTTATTTTTTTTTAATAAAATATATCAGTTAATTAATAATTATAAAATTCACATTCATTAAAATTAACATAATTCCGAATAACTAGAATAAAACAATGTTACAAAATATTATTTTAATGTTAAAAAAGGATCATAAATAATGAGTAAATTTAATTATCAAGATGTACATAGTAGTGCAGAAAAATGTAAACACTTGATAACACAATGATGTATAATCTATAACTATAACAAATTTGATAGACTTCTTATCAGGTAAAATCTGTAGGAATAAAATGATATTAATTTTTTAAAATGATGTTATTCCTTAGTACATTGTTACGCAGCATATATTATTTCATTGCATTAAAAAATTAAAAATATAATTATGTTAGTACTTACTGCAAATATTTAAGTACAACTTGTATTGCAGTTAAAAATTTACAGCAAACAAGGTTTCGATGCTATAATAAATTGAAAAAGTGAGTACAAAATACTAAATTCTTATAAAATATGTATATATACATATATATGTAAAAAGGAATATCTAACTTATAACATATTTTACAAAATATTTTACCTTAAAATGTAATTTGTCCAAAGGCCATGTTGGTCTGATTTTTTTAATTATTTCTTTAGCACCATCAACAATTTCATTCTCATCAATTGTTATGTCAAGATGTTGTTCTTTGCATGATTCGCCCATAATTATATATTATCTCTAATAAATAAACTTTTTTAAAATATTTATGTATATAAATGACAACATTCAAAGATTTATGTATATAAATGACATTTGATATGTATTTACTTAAAGATTAAAAATTAATGTCATCAATAATTTACTTGAAATTAAGATTTTTTTATGACTATAGGTTAAAAACAAATAATACATTAACACTAATAATATTATATTAAATAACAATTAACACTATCTATCAAAGTTGTATCAGATACATATGCAGGCAAGTTACTTTGTAGAATTGTTCTCCTGTATTGAGATTGAAATGTTCATATCAATTTCTGTCACCCACTATATATATATATACTGATAATAATGACACAGTTAACAAGAACAGTATAGGGTAGACTTGAATTCATTATGATTTCATTACGATTACGGAAGTTATTCATTATTCATTCAACATGTTAAATGTTTATTTATATATATATATATAATGTACCATTACGTAGAAACAAAAATTATAAAATCTTATCTTACGAATATTAACATAACAATTATTTTGATATTTTAATAATAATAAAATTATTATGAGATTTCTTTTATTCAAATACGTATAATTGTATATTTTTATATATATACATGCTTTAGGAAATACTATTTAATTTTATAATTTGTACGAAAATGATAACATTTTGTACAAAAATTATTAACAAAAAAATATAATATTTTATATTTTATTTATACAGATATAAAGAACTATCAACATGTAAATATACAGGTCCTATAACTAATTTTCGTGTTCAAAATTTAAGTTATCTTAAATTATTATAGTCTAGATGTTAACTTAAATTAATTTCTAAACTAGGGATTATCGCTATAAAACGTTTATTAGACTGCAAAATATAAACAGCGCGTAATTTAATTTATCATGAAAAATATTTAGAAAAATAATTAGAAAAATATTTAGAAAAAGTTTACATTGGTATGGAAAATGTAAAGTTTTAAAATATTTTTATGTTCAGTTTATTAAGCTATGTAAAAGTATAATACATGTTACGAAGCATTATAAATTGTCTGTTTTTAAATGTAGAAAATTTTTTCATTCCACTAACTTCAAATCAAGTAACGTTTATGGTTAGTGGATGAATGATATGAATACAAAAAACACAAAAATACACAATCTCATAGTAAAGAATACATAAAACTATAATTATCAAACTTTTCATACGATATAAATGTTACACGTAAAATTAGAAGCTTTTTAAACAAATATCTCTAAATATTTAATTAACTATTTAATTTAGTATCTTAAATTTATAATCTATTTTTTTTTCATGAAATTAATCATAATTATGTGTGATGTAAAGACATAAAGTTGAGAAAAATGTATATTTTTAGAAATATTTCGTTTTGTGTTTGTCATCTATTACTTTCTTATTCAATGTTCTATGTATGTATGTAAATAATATCATATTAAGTAAACACAATACAACTTTTGTTTACCAGGATATTTTATTATATGTAATTCTAACATTTTTATAGTCCTTTAATATTCATTAAAATGTCGAAAAAGATTCCACTTACTCAAAATGACATACAACCTACATTTAAAGGATTTATCGAACGTATGAAAAAGAAAAGTGTTACACGATCTAGGTATGAAAATTACTTATTGAAAGAAATCTAATAGTATTTAATATAGTTAATATAATTGTCTCAAAGTTAAAGTAATTTGTTTAATTTACAGCACTCCTAAGTCATCAAATACAAATATAAGACCAGATGATATACCTAAGGATTTTGAACCTTCTAATACAGAAAAATTAGAAACGAACGATAAAACATCATTTATATCTTCTGTAAGAATATCTTTATTAAATGTAAGATATGTTATTTTATAATATAATATATTTTTTAATATAATTATTTATTTCAGGATAACTTGAATGATTCAACATGTAGTGCTATTAAAAGTTCTATAAAAGTAAATGACAATTTAAACAATAGTGAATGTCCTAAAAAGGAGACACCATTAAATGAAAAAATTACGCCACAATTCACTAAATTCAAAAATGTACAAAAATCGAAAATTAAACTTAATTACTTATCAGATAGTGAAGATGATATAGCGGTAAAACCAATTTTAAGTTTAAATAGAAAAAACAAGATTCTCGATAGTAGTGATGAAGAACAAATATTAAATAAAAGTTTATCAGTTTTAAAAGGAGATAAACCACTTGAGATGTCTATGCAAACATCTATTGGGAGCAATAATGTGCAAACAGAAGTACAAAAAAAAAATTTAATTGAAAATAATAGTCTAAGAACTCCAAAAAAATATTCTAAATTCAAGGATGAAGAAAATATTATAATATCAGATTCTGATAGCAGCCCAAATTTTAAACAAAACTCAAAAAGAGTTACAAAAGAATGGATAGGACCTGATTTCAAATTAGATTTAAAACCTTTAGGCTTAGGAAATCAATTAGATTCATGGATACAATACGCAAAAGAGAAACCAATAATGTCTTCAGTACCAGTAAATATCAATATGATTATTATTAATAATATTATTATTATTAATAAGTACCTAAAATAACATGATTATTTCTAGATTACAAAAGATAAATTAGAAGATAGATATAAATATTTAAAAGATTTTCAAATAGAAATTCTTAATAAATTTTACACTGCATTAGATCAAATACCATTGCCAGTGTTAGAAAAATTTCCACAGTTTAATGTAAATACATATAAAAATTTAAAAATTTTATATCAACATGTTAAAGCAAAAATACGTTTAGTTGAGACAAAGTTAGCACATGTTAAAACTGATGAAAAACAAAAACTTGCCGATGAAGAATTATCTGAAGTTAGAAATAAATGCATAAATAATTCACCATTAATCAAAATACCTAAAACTTTAAATCAGCAGTCAATTATAAGTATTTCAGATAGTGACGATTTCAGTACATCTAACAGTAATTTATTAGATCCAGACTCAAGTTATACTATGAAAGCACAAACCACAACTTTGTCAACAGTAAAAGAATTCCCCCAATTATTACAAACAAACATCGAATCGCAAGTGAAAGATCAAAAGAAAAATATAGATTTACATTGTTCTGAACAAACTAAGTCAAATGATTCTCTAGTTCAAGGAAAAAAGAGTACATTTCAATTGAAAAGACCCGTCAAAGCAACAATTGGGTCTGAAGTTTCTAAACAAATAGAAGAAATATGGGAAAAGGAAGAAAAATCCAAAGTTACTAATACTAAAAGTGAAGTTTCTAACTTTAACACAGATATTAGTTTTGATAATATATACGATCAAGAAAAAGTAGAAATTAATAAAAGTACATATTTTGAATCGAAAAAGAAAGAAAATTTTGAAATTTCTGAAAAATTAAAACATGAAAATAAACAAGATGATTGGAATATAGTAGATGAATCGTATATAGAAGGTAAATTTTATACTCTGTGTGTGTGTGTTAGTTAAGTATATGATTATTTATTTATTATAGACAATATCGCATTTTCCGAAGACATAGTTGAGAGTTTAACTCAAGAACTTCAACAATTTCCTGCATTGAGTAAAGATTGTAATATAAACTCAAGTTTATCAGGTAAATCTACATTACAAATTTATTATTATTACAAATATACATTACAAATATATTATTATTTTGTATTATATACGTTTTTATTTCTGTTTTAATTTGTGTTTGAAACAGCTGCCGCGCAAAATGCTGATAATAATAAAAATGAAAAACAACAGAAAAAAGATAAAATAAATTTACAAATAGGTATTTTTACTGGAAGTTATAAGAATGATGGTGTTAGTGGTGAATTTGATGGATTAACATATCCACATTCACGAGAAATGTTAAAGGTAAAAAATTTTGTTTTTGAATATTTTTTAATTTAATACTTTTTAAATTTTGTTATATGTCAAGTATAACATTTTTTAAGGTCTTCCGACAAAAATTTGGATTATATTCATTTAGACCAAACCAATTGCAAGCAATTAATGCTGCAATTTTGGGATTTGATTGTTTTGTTTTAATGCCAACTGGAGGAGGAAAGTCACTGTGTTATCAACTGCCAGCACTCTTATTAAGTGGAGTAACCATAGTAATTTCACCATTAAAAAGTCTTATTCTTGATCAAGTTCATAAACTCACTTCTCTTGATGTACGTTTTCCAAATAGTATTTTATATATACTTACATATTATCTTTTAACAAATTTTGTATAGATTCCAGCTGCACATATGTCTGGTGGAATAACAGATAGTCAAGCAGACGGAATATATAGAGAACTTTCAAAGAAAGAACCAGCTCTTAAATTATTATATGTAACACCAGAAAAGATTTCTGCATCTCAAAAATTTTGCAGTCTTTTAACTACATTATATGAAAGGGGATTATTGACAAGATTTGTTATTGATGAAGCACATTGTGTTAGTCAATGGGGTCATGATTTTCGGCTTGATTATAAAAAATTAAGGCGTCTTAGAGAAAATTATCCTAATGTACCAATCATTGCATTAACTGCAACAGCTACACCAAGGGTTAGAACTGATATATTACATCAGTTAGGTCTCACTGTACCTAAATGGTATGTAATTTAATCTTAAATATATTTTATATATATAGTTCAATTCTTTATGATAAAATTCCATAATAAAATTTACTCTATTCAGGTTTATGTCAAGTTTTAATAGGCCCAATTTAAGATACAGCATAATTGCCAAAAAAAGTAAAAATTGTTCAGATGAAGTAATAGCTATGATAAAAACGAAGTATAAGAATGAATGCGGTATTGTTTATTGTTTATCTCGTAAAGATTGTGATGATTATGCAATGCAAATGAAAAGAAATGGCATTAGAGCATTTAGTTATCATGCTGGCCTTACAGATAATAATAGAAGTGATATTCAAGGACGATGGATTTCAGAAGAAGTATGAAAGTATAATTAAATAATTGCATAATTTTTAAATAATTATGTTTCTTAATTACAAATAAATTCTAGATCAAAGTTGTCTGTGCAACAATAGCATTTGGAATGGGTATTGATAAACCAAATGTGCGATTTGTGATTCATGCAGCTCTTCCGAAATCTATTGAAGGTTACTATCAAGAAAGTGGGCGCGCTGGACGTGACGGAGACAATGCGGATTGTATATTATTTTACAATTATGCTGATATGCATAGGATTAGAAAAATGATTCAAATAGATTGCTCAAATCCTAATGTATTAAAAACTCACATGGATAACTTATTTAAAATGGTATCATTTTGTGAAAATAAAACAGATTGTCGCCGCGCGCAACAACTTAATTATTTTGGAGAAATGTTTGATCGACAACAATGCATTGATAACAAAGCTACAGCATGTGACAATTGTAGAATTAAAGTAAGTATATTTAAAACAATAAAACTCATGTTAAGTAAAATATCTTACAACTTACATATAAATTTCTAGGACGATTTCATCATGTTAGATGCAACAGATGATGCAAAAAAGATTATAAAAGCTGTACATGATATTAATCAATTAAGAAATTCTAAGCTTACGTTAGTACTCCTTACAGATATATTTAAGGGAAGTGACCTCAAAAAAATAAGAGAATTAGGTAAACAAAATTGAAATTTTCTATTATGTATTTTATTATACATTATTTTTTTAATTAATGTAACTATTAAATATTTATGTAGGTCTAGCTAAGCATCCTTTATATGGTTGTGGAAGATCGTGGAATAGATGCAACATAGAACGTTTACTCCATCATATGGTGCTCAAAGAATATTTACAAGAGCAGATGTATATAAATAATGAAATTGCTTGCGCTTATGTAAAAATTGGACCAAATGCGAATGAACTCATGACAACAAAAGATGTAAAGGTAGGCTAATAAATGCTTAAATTTACTTTATTTTACAATTCACTTTAACAACAAAATATAAGAATAGATCATTAAAATGTTTCTTAATATAGGTGATAATTCCTACGAGATCATCTACTAGTAATACTACTGCTGTAGCAACAGTGTCTACAGTTACGAAAAAAATTGATAATGTACTTCTGGATCTACAAGAACGATGTTACAAAGAATTAATGGAAATAATAAAAGGAATTGCTGGAGCGCTTGATATTTCAACATCTTCAGTTATGAATATGATCGCAATTAGAGCAATGAGTCAAAAGTTTCCAGATACTGAAGAAGCTATGCTGCAAATCCCACATGTAACTAAAGCAAATTTTGAAAAATATGGGAAAGCATTATTAGATATTACACAAAAATATGCTGCAGAGAAATGTGGTAAATTAAAGCTGTTACGTTTAAATAATTTTAATATATAAGTACAGTATAATTTAATATATAAGTACAGTTTTAAATAGTGTAAAATTTACTCAAATTAATAATTTTGATTTTTAATAGCATTATTAAACGAAGAAAAAGAAGATAGTAATAACGATGATGATAATGATGATGATTTGTGGTATAATGATACCATCTCTATTAAATCCAATATAGTCCGTGGTAAAAAGCGTAAAGGCAAAAATAGTTACCGAAATGCAAATAAAAAGATCAAACAGGCAGCATCAAGGTAAGACACATACACACACAATTTAATAAAACGATTATTAAAATAATTTTAATGTAATTTATATTACTTTTTAATAATTCTTATTTTATTCCTAGTTCACAAAAAAGAAAAACGAAAACAACGACGAAAGCAAAAAATACAACCAATAACTTAAATAAAGGTCCGGGACTCATGAGCCTTAGTCAAAACAGGAATCCATATAAATATATGCAGATCAATTAAGATACTTGTTTTTTTTATTGTATATTTATATTTAAAAAAGCGTAATATTCTCTGTAACTTAGGATATAATGTGTCCGTAATATGATGTTGGCACTTTTGCCATTTTAACTCAAAATAAGTAGTATTATGTAATTAAAAAATCTCTAAAAAATATGTATACAGAATTTTGTAACCAAATGATTTATTTTTAATAATAACAATTAAGTTAGATTATTGAAAGATACTTTTCTAATTTTTTATTTGTGTAACAATTTGATAAATATGCATTATCTATCATTTATCTATAATCCCATATTATATTTACAACAGATACTACTTATTTATGTACAAGCAAAAGATATATTAGATGTTTAAATAAATAACTTTTTATTATAATATAACTTTATTCTTTCATAAAGTTAAAATAAAGATTTAAGCTATTAAGTACTTTATAACTAGTACATTACAATATTCATAATTCAGGTTGCATTATTCTTGCTTGACGCTCTTCATTTTTTATATGTTTTTTTAGCAAATCCATAACTTCATTGTCAAATTCAGATGGAGTGGGTTTTGCACCAGTAGCCCAATAAAATATGTCCCAATCATTGGATGGCAAATTGATAAGACAATCATACAAATGTAGTTGTTTATCATTAAAGCTAGATAGGTATTTCTTAGCAAATGTACTTAAAAGAAGACCATTTTCTAACATACCACGTTTACGAGATTGATACAATAGTCTGAAACATAAAAAATATAAAAAAAAATAAAATTACATGAAAGATATATTTTAATACCGATAATGTTTAATTTGTTTTTATATTACCGAGCTTTTTTAATATCTTTACTTTCTTCGTTACGTTGGATATATAGTGGTATGTCAGGTTCTCGGCTTTCTGGATGAATCACATCTTGAAAGTCATCTTTATAATTCATACGAGTTGTTGAAATACATCTTATTAAAGGTTTAACCTTAAATTATAAATTACAAATACTTTAATTACATGATTTGATAACGATATTATTGTTATTGACACATTACTATTTACACTTACTACAGGTACAAAGGATTTTACAAAAACATTCATTTCTATTCCTTTATTTTTCTTACGTTAAGATACAAAATTTATTACGTCTTTTTACGATTAGGTTAAGATTACATCAGTTGATAGATGAAATGTTTCTGTAGTTTCTTAATTATATATATTCTTAATGTTCACATATGACTTCTAACATTTGTTATTAAGTAAAGAGAGTAAATTTAATTTATTCTGGTGCAGTTGTCACCACAAACACTTTTGTTGAATCAATTATAGCTATAGCTATTTTACATTTATATACTTATTTTAAATATAATTTCCTCAAGTAATTATAAATAAAATATTATAGATATTATTATATTGTGTTTATGTTCTATAAATATATAATTGACAGTGTGTAAATATTTCTCGTTTCATTAAAAAAAAATTATATTTTTTAGCCATAGTCTGCCACTGCTTTATTTGAAATAGATTTTTTATGATAATAATTTATGCAATTGATGACAAATTTTTGTTGATTGCTGATTCAATTATTATGCTAAATATATATTACTAAATTATAATTACATGTACTAAATTATAATTAAATGTAAATAAGAATCCAAGGAAATGAAACAAAATGATTTCTAATTCAAAAAGCAATGATTCCATTTCTCCAATGAAAGACACAACATTAAAAAATATTAGAGATCACGATGAAAATGAGATATGTACATCTAGTCCTAATATATATGAAAGAACTTTAAATAGTATTGCACGTGAATGGAGTATGTGTGATATATTTGAAATAAACAAAAGTGAAGAAGAAACGCAATGTGATAATAACAAAGAAAATGAAACAGATTTGCAAACAAAAGTTACCAAACAAAATATTATAACTCATTCTCAAAATATGCTTAATGAAACAAATAGTCATTGGCAGGACAATACATTTTTAAATAAAGCATTTACACAGTTGGATCCTTGTAAATTAAAAGATAATATTTTGGAATGCTTAATTCAGGTTACTAATAATTTTAACATCTATAGAATTATAAAATATAAAAATTTTAACTTTAGATTTATATGATCATTATGTTTTCCAAAATAGGACAAACATGAGAACTGCTTTGAAAAAACAATTTCCACAGAAATCATAGATTCAATGCATATGCCAAAGAAGGAACAAAATGTCAAATTAATAAAAAGAAATTCAGATAGTTGTAGCAGTACTGTCCCACATAAAATATGTTGTTTAGATAATCAAATGATTAAACAAGGTACAAGTATTCATTATAACAATTCAGTAAACGATGATACATTTTATGGTTTACCAAATAAAGCAAAGGAACTTTTTTTACAAATTAGGGGTATTAATTCATTATACCGTAAGTACTTAACTTATAAAAAATAATTTTAATTCATTATTAATAAGTATAAATTTATAAATTTCATTTTTATTCCTATTATGTTTATATTTGTCATTTATTTCTTTTAGAATGGCAAGATGAATGTTTAAATTTAGATGCAATAAAAAACAGGAAAAATTTAATTTATGCACTTCCTACTAGTGGAGGTAAAACATTGGTTGCAGAAATATTAATGTTGCAAGAACTTATATCTAATAAACGAAATGCAATTTTTATATTGCCATTTGTTGCTATAGTGCAAGAAAAAGTAATAATATTATGCAGTGCAAGAAAAAGCATAATATTATGTTCACTATACAATTTTTATAATAATTAATTACAAGAAGTATATATTTATTTATAATTTTTAGGTTCAAGCAATGACACCATTCGCACTTGAATTAAATTTTTTAGTCGAAGAATATGCAGCATCAAAAGGAACTTATCCTCCAAAAAAACGTCGTAAAAAAAATAGCATATATATGTGTACTATAGAGAAAGCATTAGGTTTAATAAATAGCTTAATAGAAGAAAATCGTTTGAACGAAATTGGTATTATAGTTGTTGATGAGTTACATCTTCTTGGAGAAAGTGGAGGCAGAGGAGCTACATTGGAAGTTCTTTTAACAAAAATATTATATGTTAATGATAATATTCATATTGTTGCAATGAGTGCAACAATAGGTAATTTAGAAGAAATAGCAACATTCTTAAATGCAGAGTTATATACTGGAAATTTTCGTCCTGTAGAAATTAAGGAATATGTGAAATGTGAAGAAAATATTTGGTTACTTGATTTTAAAACGGAAGAATTATTAACAGATGTAAAAAAAATTAATTATCGGGTAAGTTAGTTTTACCGTTTTATATAATTAAAGTAATACAATTCAAATAATGCAATTATCATTAATAATTATTACTTATTTGTTTTAAAAGTATTCAAATGACGCGGCAATGATAGATCCTGATCGAATCGGAGGTTTGGTAATGGATGTAATTCCAGAAAATTCATGTCTCATATTTTGCTCAAGTCGGAAAAATTGTGAAAATGTTGCTCTGTTACTATGTAGAATTTTATTCAAGTCAGAACTTCATTTTATATTTTAAATACATACGTATTATTACAGATTTTATTAATTATATATGTAATAATTCATAGATCATTCGAAAATTACAAAAAAGTTGAAAAGGAAAATTTATTAAATGCTCTTAAAAGCGAAGAAGGCCTTTGTCCTATCTTACATAAAACCATAAAAGTGGGTGTGGCTTATCATCACTCTGGTCTTACATCTGAAGAAAGACGATTATTGGAAGATGCTTTTAAAGCAGGTACTTTGTGTGTAATATGTTGTACATCAACATTAGCAACTGGAGTAAATTTACCAGCCAGAAGGGTACATTATTCATTATTTGTTTTTTAAACAGTAGTATATTGTTTTTTATAAAAAAAAAATTATAGGTGATATTAAGAAGTCCATACATTGGCAACCAATTTCTAAATTTAAGTAGATACAAACAAATGATAGGAAGAGCTGGTCGGGCTGGTATGGGAAATATAGGAGAAAGTATACTTATATGCAAAAATAATGAATTAGAAAAGGTAATATTCATGTATCTCTATTACATATGTACGTCTGACTAAATAAATAAAAAAATACTATTGTTCATATTACTAATATTCATGTAATCAGGTAACAGAACTTTTAAGATCTAAAATGGAAGATTCCTTAAGCACAATACACGTGGAAAGAGATAGAGGTATAAATAATTTAATTTTAAGTGCTATATTATTACAAATAGCGACGACTAGACTTGAATTACACAAAATAGCCAAAAGGACATTACTCAATATTCAGCAAAAACGTTTAAATGTGAATATTAAACAAATCGTGGATGAAACATTAAGTGAATTTCTAAAAGCTAGTGTTATGAAAATAAAGAAAAAAGAAAAAAATGTTGACAAATTCAAACCAAATATAAGTGTTGTTTTTCCGTCACAAAATACATCTTCTAACGACACAAAAGAAAGAAAAGGAAAAAGAATATTAGAGCTTACTAATGAAACTGAATTAGAATTATGCAGTCTTGGACGTGCAGCTATGAAAGGTAGAAATAACTTTATTACTAATAGTTCTTACTTAATAATTTATTTATTTTTATATATGTTTTTATGTTAAAGCTTGTATTAATATGCAGTGTGCATATACATTGTATCAAGATTTAAAAAAGGCTCAAGAACATTTAATTCTTATTGATTATTTACATCTTTTATATCTTGTTACTCCTTATGATTTAATATCTCAGATAAAACTAAACGGATTAATTTATTACGATGTGGTAACTTCTAAGTTATAATTTATACCGTTGACAATAATTTTTTCATACTTTCATATTTTCATAATATTTGTAGGTAATTAGTTTATCAGAAACACAAATGAAAACAGCTAGACTTCTAGGAATTAATGAAGCAAATATAGGTCAAATACGCAATGGATTACTGCCCAAGGTTTGTGTCTAGTCGTTTATATTAGATTTTTATCAGTTCATTTGTATTAGATTTATTTCTATATTATAAGCTATTTTACATGTAATAGGATGTGGAACCAAGAGTGATTCACAGATTTTATGTAACACTAATATTGTATGATTTGTGGTCTCAACATGCAGTATACGCTATAGCAGAAAAATATGAAATAAATAGAGGTATTGTACAAAATCTTTTGACTGCTGTATCATCGTTTGCATCTTCTGTGATTCGATTTTGTCAGGTTAGTAAGTGTAGTATATATAATAGTAGTAGGTAAAAGTAGTCAGGTTAGTAAGTGTAGTATATATAATATTTCATAAAATTTCAATGAATGAATATTCCAGGAATTGGATGAATTTTGGGCATTTAAAGATTTATTAAATATATTTAGTAAAAAATTATCATATTGTTGTCCTCTGGAATTAGAGGCATTGATGGATTTGCCTTTAGTCAAAATTGTAAGAATATTTTTTTACCTAGAAACTAAAATAATAATTTATTTGAATTATAATATTATTTCATTTTATAGGGTAGAGCACGTCAATTGTATAACGCGGGGTTTAGAACAGTACAGATTATAGCTAAAGCTCAACCAATGGATTTGCAAAATAAAATTCCATATCTGAGTAAAAAAACTGCGACACAGATCATTGGAGCTGCCAAAGTAAATTACGTTTTATATTATGTTTGTATTAATAATATATTATATATTGTTATTTTTATTATTATTTTACAGTTACAAATAGTGGAAAAATTAGAAGATTTAAAGGAAGAAACACAAAATGTTTTAAATGGTATACATATGAATAATTTGAGGGGTTTTTAATTGTAACATAGTACATTATATAATCTTATATATCTAACATCATGCATTATAATTTAGCTATAAAACTTTATTAATTATGAATGAAATACTTATAATATTTGTATATTATCTTAAAATTTTTATGAATTGTGTTAAGCATTTTAAGAATAATAGATTTTTTAAAGTTATTTATGAATAAAATAGGTACAATATTTATTATTTTAAAGTTTTTATAAATGTGCCAAACAGACCAATGTATTCAAAGAATAATACATTGTTTAAGCTGGCACAGATATTAAATGTCCAAAATGTGATTGATTTCATTTGAAAAGGATATGACGTCAAAACATTATGGAACATATTTTCCATATCTTTATAATTATTTTTATTGGACGAAATACAGTAAATACAACAAAATAAATTTTACTAAAAATTTTAATGAAATGTGTAATATTATCATTGCTTATAACCTAACGTTTTTTATACAAACATGGTCTTAATGTAATAGAAGGTAATTTATTTTTTTTATCGCTAATGTCTCCTTCTTTTTTAAAATCTAAAAAGTAGAATAAATTGTGAGATAAATCTTTCCAAATATTTTTGAAACCATAACCATTTATTGCGTTTATAAAATCCTCTACTCGTTCAAATCGACTTTCAACTTCAGCTATCTTTAATATACCACTGAAACAAATATTTTTTATTATTATATTTCTTTAAAGTTCTTCTATTAAAGTTTAGTATCCATTTTTATTACTTATGTTTATTTTGTACTTACCCTTTTTTAAGAACTCTACTTGCTTCTATAATGTAATCTTTAAGATTAGTTCCCATAAGTGATAGGCAAAATACAACAACATTAACACTATTTGTTAATAAGGGTGTATGTGCTATATCACAAGCAGTCACATTTTTGTTTAGAGAAACAAGATCAAAAGAATGTACTTTATGAGGAACTGTAGTAGCAAGTCTTGCTTCTCCACATCCAAAATCAGCAATTATGTATTGCTTTGGCCTATGACATGATTAATATTCGTTCATATAATGTTTGATACAACAATTAAATAGTAATTTATAGCTGTAAAAAATACTAACATTTTTTTAATTGAAGCTATCACATTATCAAGGGGGTTTACAGGCCATTGTTCAACTTGTTGTTTATATCCTTCATGATATGCCTTAAATGCATCAGGATCATTTTTAAAATATTTTTTAGATTCTGAACTTTCGTTATTATAAAGAGTTTCATTTAAATATCTGAATCTAGAAGCTTTTAATTTAGTCATCATTTTTTGTCTTAAAGATTGCGGTTTCATGTTTACTTTTTGCTGTTTTTGTTCTTTTTGTTTATTAGAAAGTAATTCCTGCAAATGTTTGATATTTAAGTTATGATTTCTGGTTACTTGAGGATCATCATTTTTCTTTTTGGAAGTTATTGAAAATTTACTATTTCTTTGTTTCAATTTCTTTTCTAATACTTTATTTAAATTTTTTTTTTCATTTAATTTTTGTTTCTTTTTTGTTTCAGGTTCCATTTTCTTTGCAATCTTATTATCATTAATTGTACTCTTAGATTGATCAGAAATTTTATTCTTTTTATTTTGTTTCTGACGTTTTAATTTTTTGTTATTAAGGTGCTGATTTTTTTTATTTTGAACTTGTTTTCTTACTTTACTTCTACTTTTGTTCTTTACATTTACTACTTTTATAGTGTCAGAATTTAAGAAGTCAGTACAAATACGTTTTTTGTCATTCTTGCATATTTGTTTTACAGTTTTATTTAATTTATTTTTTGTAGATTTACTTTTGAACTTCAAATTCTGATCTTTAAGAATGGCGGGTTTAAGTTTATTTTCGTCGTCTTCTGTCGATTTTTTCTTCTAAGATAAATATAACAAATGTTCTATAATTTTATATAATTGCAAATGCTTTGTAATTTTTATTATAGTATAAATACAACTGTTATATATATATGTTGTATAACCTATTATAACTTACTTGACGATTATTTTTTTGTTTGACGGTCATATTTTTGTCAGATTTTTTTGCATCTGTGGCATTTTTTAATTTTTTAGCCATATTAGTCTTCTATTATACTCCTTTGTACGAAACTACGAATGTTAATAAAAATATATTTTTACTTTTCACTCTCTGTGGTATACGACGCAATTGTTATTTCTTAAACAAATGAATAAATTATATTAGTCTTATGTAAAGACTAATATTTTACTTATATTTATTCACTTTTACGTATTACTGCTACGAAGAAAGATCAACACACCTGATATGATTTCTCTCTCTTTTAACTACTTAAAAAAAATATTTAAAAGTATAAGTGGCGGCAGCACGGTATCTAATAAAGTATTCAAGTCTCGAAGTTGTGATTTATATCATAAAAATGTTTAATACATTCACAATAGATGGCGTTTATTATAGTAATTGATAAGTGCTGCCATGTTAGACAAGTAAAGGATATTGACTAACTAGGATAGACTGGACAAACAATGTTCTTTCATGTTACAAGTTTTGGGGGTCACCTAACCCCCATACACACTTTCGTATCACATTCTACCATTCTATCGATTTAGGCAGGTTCTGCGTTGCAGCGCTACTAAATTTTAACTAAATAATTTATAACAATCAACTTGAACAATGTATTTAAGACAAACGACGTGAATTATTGAATGAAATTATTAATTTAATTGTTTAATCGTAATAGGAAAATTATATCAAATATAGAAATGTTATAGAAATAAAATAATTTAATTGTTTTAAATGAATTATTCAAACTATAAATATAGTTAATATTTCTATGGTATTTTTGTATATTATATAACAATTTTAACTATTTATTTATTGATAACTATTTATCAATTATAACAATTGAATCAATCATTGAATTTCCTTATACTTCTATATATTATTAACTATTTTATTAACAATAATGAAAACGATAATTACATAATATATATATTTATGTTGCGCGATTATTCAGAAGTGACGATCACTACTTAACTTAATTTTTGACGAAATAATTTTTCTCTACATAAATTTTTATTACATAATAAAATATTTCTATATACATAATTTTTATTTAATATATATCAGTGTAGTTGTAACTTAAAAATTAGTATCATGAAAGTGTAAATTTAGTTTTAACTGGTTTTATTAAAAATTAATAAATATTAATAGTAATAAATTCGTGGAAGTGTAACTTTGCGATAGAAATGTAAAAATTATGAAATTATTGATTAGTATGATGGAAAAACTGTTTTTCGAAATATTAACAAAAATTATCAATTGTTTCGCGTTATTGACGACCGAAACACCAGATTAATCTCGACTGGTACAAAGAGAGATTATTTCATATTCCAGTAGAGTGAAATATGAACTGGACTGTAGGAATAATTAGTGGAATAAATAAATTATTGGTAAGAAATACGAACATTCAGCGAGGAATACCTCCTAGTTTTCGAAATATTTCTGTTTAAAGATTTTCTGAAAATCGTCTATATCAGAAGAATTACTCGATGGAGGGGTCGTAACACCTCCTCAATAATCATGTTCTCCTGATACAAAATTCGAATTTTCAGCGGGGTATTTTTTCTGATTCTTGAGATATTTCGGCTTAAATATTTGCGTAGGCTGGGGAGAGTTTATTTAGTTTACCGTTTTATATTCACAGTATCTACATTATCTGTCATCAGCGTTATTTTTTGCAAATATAAGTGTACAGTTTGTTGATTTATTCTTTCATTCATCTACTTTCACTTTCTACAGAATATATTAAACTGTAAAATATCGCATGCCTTTTTGAAACAATTTGAAACGTAGTTGAAAAAAAACATGATACTTTTCATTTCAATTCATATCTCGTATTTAAATATCTTTAAATTTCTAAGTAACTTTTTTGCTAGATTCACCATATATGTAGGTATTTATACAAAACACAAGAAACTGCTTGAATTGAGTCATGTAACCAAATAAGTATTTACATTTACTCATTTGACTTATATCGCGATATAATATAATTATTCGTAAGCTTTTTATGTAACTTTTCGCATACTTTTTAAATAGATCGAAACTGTTTCCAAAATGTCGGTATATTCTATGGATTCCCTCGAGAATGTTAACGAAATCTCACCAGGGAATCAGAATTTTTTATACAGAAACACCGGTGGATTTAACCTAGAACCAAGTAAAATTTTGAACATTAATTTATTTGCTGATCTGTCATTAACTCGGGAAGAAACGGGAGAATAAAACACAAACACAATATTTCAACATTTAGCATTTAATATTCCAGTATTTACCCACGTGATCAGTAAAATTACAATTTTCAACGCATCATTTGATTACTATAATATTGGCGCCTGATAATTGAAGAGTTATTTACTCCGAGAGTTATAATGTCATTATAGGCGATATTAAAATACTCGTTGTTAAGGCCAAGGGTACGCAACACGTATGGCATTGATGTTCCCAAGCTTAGCGTGGCAAATTAGGTCTTTGGCCACTTCAAACCTCCAGACAAGGCGCCCCATACATCTGGGTTAATTTTAAATGCGACGAAATATTCCGCACCATGGGGATCATCTTGTCATAACAACTGCGTACTCGAGGGAATGTGTAAGCAGCGGAATAATTTTCCTAAGACGATCGTACTCAGAAATGCCCTACTCTTATGGGTAGTGATGGGAAAATTTGGAAACCTTCTCCTATACTTCCTGATTGGTATCTTGGTATATATCCTCCGCTCTATAACTCCTTCTTTGGAAGGGGTAATTTAAAGCCGGATAAAGGAGAAAGTTGGTCAGTCAAATCAGTTCAGAATAGTTAGTTACAAATAGTTTGTCAATACAGTTGGTTACAAAAAATTATTCAAGTAGCCAATATTTAGTCTCACTCTGTTCAACATCCTTACCAAGCAAGAATTGCATAGGAGCCACCAAGCTCAATGTTCAATAAATGTTCAATAAGTCAAGAAATTAGTTTCATTTTCATTCTCACATCAGTGGCAATCCAAGGCAAATACGCAAAGATGCAAGAACAACAGTCGTGATTGACCTTACCACTCGTCTTATTAAGTCTTGATGTTGTAGATAGATTGAATTTCTAATTATTGTTTAAGTTTTTCTGGATAATAACGAGTCTCCGATATTTGATATCTTTTCTAAGAAACGGCCAGAAAAAAAAAAACGAGATCGATTCACCAGAGAGTATTGATTTTTGTTCCGTTTCTTTTTCACCGGAAATGTTTCAGATACCGGATCTAATGAAACTACGTCGAGTATCAATAAAGACACGGGGACAGCCGGCAGCAAGAATGCGATAATTGCGAACAGGGGACTCATAGACGCGTCCAAGCAACGGTGTCCGACGTCTTCGGCCAGTGGAAAACGAAACGTCGCAGATCCCCTTAAGAGAAACGTAAGATCCCTGGCGCGATGAGAAACCGTTCTGATTCTACTTGGCTACAACACAAGGAACATTTTGATTATTTCATAAATTATGAACTTCAATTTTATTGCCCTATTGTTTTTGTATTACGACTGTGCTGTTTAAAACATCAATTGAAGGAAAAGGAAGAATTCATGATTATAAACTTACAATTTTGCTTTTATCGATCATTGAAGAGTAATGTTCCTTCAATTTGTGCAAATGAAATAAGTATTTTATATGAAACTCACTCTCTTGCTTTTCAGACCACAAACGATTCAAAACGAGAAAAAGATGGTGGCAGCAAAAGACTAGCTGATACAAGTTATGCCAAGCGTTTGTCGAAGACGTCTGCGACGAAGTGTTGCTCGAACGACGTACCGATGCCTATGAAGCCGAACAAAAAACTCGGAGACGTACTCGGCCCGAAGGTTCAGCAGGCGAGAAAGCCACGCTCCTATTTGGAGCTTTATCGTCGGAGATTCAGTTAGTCTGAAACGAGATGATGTTCCTCTTTCTCTTTCTTGGTTCGTGGCTGACACGAAGGGCGGGAAGGGTGCGTTTACGTGGCGATGCTTGAAACGCCACCGGAACGATGTAATTTTCCTCGGAGAAGGTTTACCTTGGTCGTGATTAGATGTCTTTTCGACGTTGGTGGTATATGTCCGCGGAGAATTAGAACGTACGGTGGTCATCTCAGGACCGTCCCTTCTCGTTTGTTTGCCCAGGGACCGGCCATCCTCCTGCTTTATTGTTATTTGGATCTTCCTTGTAATTCGAAGCGCGACGTGTCCACTAGGTCCGATTTTCCACCGGGAGAAGTATTGTTTTTGGCAGGATCGCTATTTTTAAACGGTCACGACGCCCTGGAGATTACGCCTTGACCTGTTGTAGTTTAATATCGAAGGGATTTAGCCTGGAAGCTATGAGATAGTTGGAAGCATGAAGAATTTGTCCGCTTGATATTGTCTTTAAATGTTTGTTTTAAGTTTAATTGTAAATACTGACTGATTCTTGTTAATGCAAAGACTGTTAATCTAAGATGAATTACTGTTGTCTACCGATTTGTCCTCATATGATAATCATTTGTAAATTAATTTACAATTTTCTTTTTACAAACGCATGGTTTCAAAATTCACTGCGTTGTCAATCAATTGATTATTCGACATATTTTTTATGATTATATGTTCGTCATAATTTTCGAGATACTGCTGTTAAAATATTAAATATCAAAAGATTTGAGAATATCCTTGCTTCGAGTCGCGTTCAAACTAGCGATTCCTACTTCAATTTCAAAGCGATAGGACGAAGAACGTCCTGAGGAAGATGTATCTTTAGTATCTCGTTGTTCGCAGGTGGACCACAATACAAGGCTCGATCCCCGGAGGGTTCCACCTTGTCGGTTTGCGGAGACAGCGAACGAGAAGAGCTCAGTGACGACGATACACGTTCGTTGGCGACCCCGAGGGACGATCAAAGCGAGCTGAGTTTTTATCGACGTATAATCGAGGGATCTACCGACCCTCTGGCCTCTGCCAATCGATCCGCTAAAACTGTGCGTCGATCAACGTTCCAAGACACAAACACTATCTTCTCCAGCACGAACACAGTTAAGTACAGTACGCCTGACGATAAATCGAAGAAGAGTCTCGGCTACAGGCCGTATACCATCGAGGAGTACAAGACCTTGCCGATACCGAAGCTTGATCGATCTCTTGGGCCCGATAAAATTGAGATGCAAGCGAAGGTAAGTGTGTTTCGTTTGTTCCCTTCTGACATATCCTTCGACCGTACTTAATTGAGCTGGGATTTATTCGTCGTGAGATCGAGATCGGAGGATAAGGTTAGCGTTGGCAACAGATTGTTTGAAAAATCTTGCCGTTAATAATTACAACTCAGGACTGTTTGATCGGTGTGATTTTTATTAGATATAAATACATTTATTATACGCATTTTATTATTTCTTATTATGTACATTCATATACATCATGAGTAAAAACAGACTTGAAGAACTAGAAGAGATCTATTTTATTCATTTAATAATTTAAAATATCGTATTTATTTATTTATTTTTTTTTGCATTCCTAAAATTCGATCCCTGTGTATCTTTATTATAGGGAACGTTTCTAAACATATATTTTCGTATTCATAAAACGTGAATCGCATTTTTGATGATTCGTGGATGAGCGCGGCTATTCGGGCTAAAGTCGAGTTAGCAGAAGTTCGAACAGAGACATCTCGCAATCTCGTTTCCTTGTCCCACCGGAAGTTAACCTGCCGGCACTGCGCCGAGAAAGCGCAAGTAGAAGAAACTTCGCTTCCGTCGACCCATCACAGTTTACAATTTCACGGAAGACCTAAAGCGAGTTAGCTTGTCGCCCGTCTTCGTAACTTCAATCTAATAAACATGCGGCCGTTTCCTCGGAACTACCTTATCATTTCCTACCTTCTATTTTCTTCGTGCAAGTCCTATCAAATTCACACATCGGACGATACACGAAAAATTTCACGGATTTCCAAAAAGGAAAAGGCACCTTTACGAACAAACTTCTGGCAGGACATGCATAAATCCTCAGTTTCGTTGACGAACTTGGCAGTGAAATAAACTTTCATCTTCAAACATTTGCTCGAAGACATTTCACTGGCTAGTACATTAGCCGTAAGTTGAACGAAGATAGGGAAAGAGAATAATTAAGTGATAGACAGTTTTATAAGAAACAAGCAGAGATTTACCGCAAAAAAATACAGTTTCGAGGAGAACACGGTTAAAGTTTCAAGTTACATTCATCTGAGATAAATCATCTACAACTTCGCTGATTATTCAAATTTCAATAAATACTTCTGGCATAGTATTGTACATGTATAAAACTTCACATCGTCGATTAGACAGATCTTAAACGTTCTTTTAAAGTAAATGCAAGCGAAGTTATACTACAGGAATTAACAGGATGGCGTCGCGAGAGCGGCGAATGCTTTGAAAAAATCGGCAGCAATGCCGTTCCTCCGGGACAGCATTCTGGTTGGCGTGCCGGTACAGCTTCGACAGCCGCCCGTCGCCAAGCGCACGACGAGGAAATAGTTGTCGCCGACGTACTCGGAGACACAGTAAATTCCACAAGCCTTTGAGCTAAATACTCGAGAGGCAGAGGGTCGGCCTGTAAATTTTTCAGAGTTCCCAGCACCGCGAGTTGGAACTCGGCTGAAGAACAGGGGAACGTAGAAGCAGGTCAGCTCCATGGTCCATGGAGTCACGCGCGGACACGTATTCGCATTCTTGCTCGCTTTTAAGACGGAAGAATTTCATCGGCGACGATTTCACTGGATTTGAAATCAAAATTTCACGCGATGATTCAGCGACGATGGTTCTTCAGCAATTTCTATCCGCCTGGATAGATGTTGCAACTAGATGTCAGTCACGATTATTTGAGAAAAACGCTTGGATCGTTGTTGAGAATTTTATTTAAGGAATTTCAATCGTTTTCTTTTTATGACAGAAATTGATGGAACGAAGATTTCTTGCAATATTTGAATATTCACGAAATATTTAAACTTCAACCATGGTATATGGTAATTGTGTTATATCAAACTTCATCATTATTACATTTCCTTCTTTGCAACGTTAATGGAACGTACACGAACGTGAATTATTGTCAACGCCATGTTAATATATACGAACAGGAGTTTCGAAGATTGCATTGTTTGCAAAAATAAATAATATTTATATAGTAACTCGCTCTGTAACGTAAAATTAGAGCAGCTCTGTTTAAATTGGAGTATAGTTTTGGGAGATATATCTTGGGATATTTAGTAGGTCGAGGATGATTTTAGTCTTTAGTTGCGAAGTGAATCAAACTTGGTACAATTTCAAGCGAGGATGTCGATGAATAATACTTCGGGGAGAGAACTGTTGAGAGAAACTACGTGAATTGATTTAGACGATCGATCATTCACCGATCGTCTAAACCGACCAACGCAAACTGGGTCGATTTCAATCTTTAATACGTCGAGTTCGCGTTTGTTATTCCATGGCTCGTAATTATTTAAAACGGAACAACCGGAACAATTTGGATCCAAATATAATTGCATTAAACATTTCAAGCTAAAAAGGAAGGCTCAGCCAGGATCAACGAGGAGTTACACGGGAGTAAGGTGCACGTACGGTGGCGATACAAAAAGAAGTTTCGGGCTGCAACTTGCTCCCGGTGAAAAATACCGACTTTATCCGTGTATCTTTCTTACAGCCGCACATTTGTCGTACATTCTTTCGCTATTATCCGGGATTACCGAGTAACTTGGTACCGGCGTAGATAAGTACACACGGGAATAAATTTGTTCCTGGTGGACGCGCCGTCGAGAACAGTTTAAATGAAACGCCGGCGGAAGTCAGCGGACTGGAACAAGGGGACAGCAGAGGTACACCATAATGTCCATAATTACACAGACACCCGAAAGGTTGTATTAATATTGCCCGGTTTAACTTGCCGTGATATTAACTGTACCGACGTGTATTAACGTTGCGGTTTCACGAGAGCATGACGCGCAACGTGTAAACAAGAGAAACGAAAAAACAGAGTGACACACTATAGAGAGAGAGAGAGAGAAGGAGAGTAGCGTGATGGTATTGGAGGCTCCAAACGACAAGGGAGAAAAAAAAAGACATCGTCCATTGAAACGTCGTTTGTTGGCTATTTAACTTTTAAGGATAACATCGTGCGATGAGTTGGACCTGACCCTTTCGCCAGATACAATTTCCTCCTTTTTCCTCCCGGTTCTTTTGTTCTTCCCTTCTATCTGGCCTGGTTACCATCTCTCACCCATCCTCCCTATCCGTTCCTTTTGCATCGTCCTCCTCTTTCGACGAGCATTTGCATAATCTACTTTACTCGCTGGATTCGGCCGGGGGAGAGTCGGCACTCGACGATTTTCGGCGTAGCTCGATCGATCGATCTTACTGCACTTTTAACGGGCAAACCCGCGCCGGATGCTCGATGCTTGTGACTGTACGTGTGCGTGTCTGTGCGCGTGTAGCAGAGAGAAAGAGTAAGAAGAAGAGAGAAAGAGGAGCAGGGAAGGAGACAGAAACGAGGAGAAGCAAGAGTGAGAAAAAGAGCGGGAAGGAGAACGAGGGAGAGAAATAAGAGGTACTATACGTATATAGAGTAGAAGTGTGCCGTTGTCAGACGCTTCGTCGGATGTAGGGGTTGTACGTGTATGTGCTCTCGCTACCGTTACCGGAAACTTGCAGAGGGATGGTGGAGGCCGTCGCGGAGCTTTCGTAAAAAGTAAATAAAGCCCCCGGCGCCCATTGGAACAGCCCTCTCCTCCAAGCCCCCTTTCTCCCTCCTCAGGTCTGTTTAGTTTGAAAAGTTTCATCGAAGCGATGGCAGCTTCAGGGATTGTTTGTTGTTGCAGAGAGAGTGGCTGATGCGGCGAAGGTCATACGGGAACTCAGTTAGTGCGCGTAATCGCCAGCGGATACTGCTGCAAGCATACAGGACCAAGGTACGTGTCATGCGCAAAATCCTGATGTACAGCGTCGGACGAAATCCGCGAGCTTACGGTCAAGGGGAAATACAGAGTTTCACAGAGAAACAACAATGCGACGTTTTTAATGAACGATGCGCCCGAGAAAAATTTTTGCTGCTCTCTTACACAAGCAGGTAATCCGGCTGATATATGTATAGTGTGGGATGGGGAATTCTGGGAAAGGGATCGGAACTTTCTCCAGTGCCCAACAACGAGACAATTATCATCAGTGGAGCGCTATTTGTAGCGTTTAGAGCGAAAGCTAGGCTTGCGAATATTTTGTTTAAGTTGCCCAGGTCTTAGGACTTAAAATATTAGATTATGAATGTGTGAGAGGTCAAAGGTTTCGAGAATCCATATCGTAAAAAAATCCAGCAGAGAGACTTCGTAGAATGAAGACAGAGAGTTGTGAGTCGTCAGCGAGTAGAAACATAGCGAGCTTTAATAGAGAGTAGGTTACCGTAGTATTAAGACTTTTTTATTCTGTCAATCCTTATTTTAATAAACTTCATTTTCCAACATTATTTAACAACGTGAAATAAAATATTCCTTTTATTTTATTTCTACAATAGTAGGATAGAAGCTAGAAATTTGCAAGTGACAGGATATGTAATTTATTAAGGAATACTGTGATTGCCTCGTTACTTTGTGACTTTGAGTATTATTTCTACTACTTATGTTTTTTTCTCACATCTTATTTTCATAAAATATAATTAAACGTTTAAATTTGCGTTTGATGTTTAAGGCTACAGTCTTACGTTGAATCTGCGAGCAACACATGTAGATAGTCTTTCTTTAATCTTTACGTTTGTATTGAATTAACAGTAGGGATAAGCGACGTTTTTTTTCACGGTGAAAATTCTACAGAATTCTAAAAAAAATGGAAAAAAGATATAAAAGTTGTCCTTTGTTTTGTTTCAACGATGTTTTTTTATACTTTACTCAAAATTAATTTGCAACGAACATTGTGGCCATTAAAGCGCGAAGTGTTTTCGTACTCGAGGATGCTCGTAAATAATTGTAAACATTTAATTGATTTTATCGTCGAACAGTTTTTCGTTATTTTGTACAAAAAAGAAAAAAAAAAAAAGAAGAAAAAACCGTTACGCTGCACGCAAAAGCTTGCAGCAAAAGTTTGAAAATTTCCGATATACACACACACGCGCATCATAATTTCAATTTGCGACAACGTTGCAAAACGTAATACCAATCTCTTTCGACTCGTGCACGGAAAATTGTTCTCATTTCGGCGCTTTCGAATTCGTTAAAAAAAAAAAAAAAAAAAAAAAAAAAATCGAACATCGAATCGGACCACGCGGACGCAAATCAAAGCCAACTATCCGTGTTTGGAGTCTACAATGACGTAGGAAAAGGATAGCCGAGGCGTGGCAGGATGACGAATTAACATCGTCTGCTGTTTGCTCGCGTTACGCTCGATACTTAATTGCCAATTAGAGGATGCAAAGAGGCATCGCGACGAAAACTGATTCGTTTTACTTGTTCAGCGCGCGAAAGTCAAGCCTCGTAACGGTCCCTTCGGAAGATTTATAAGAGAAATTAATTACGTACGTATCACTTTCGCGTTAACAATGGCGAGCGAGTCTCCTTGTTTTTTCTTCCCCCGCCGTTCATTCGTCGTTCGTTTCATCCTCCCTTGGTTCTCGCGTTTTGTTTCTACGTTCGTTACAAGATCGTTCACGTCGCGCAGCCTCTCCTGTCACTGGGCTTTCAGATTTCTAACTGATTGCATCAGTGTTGTAATTATTACGCGATGAATCGCGATTGTTTAGTTTCTTTCTTGATATGAAATTAACTTTCGCCAATTACATTCCGTAATTACAATCCGTGAACACATACATACGCGCACGGAATTACAAACGCATCCATCGTCAGAGTATATTAACCGTTCACTTTCATCAGGGAGATTAAGTTTCCTCAATGATAATCCGCTCGTGTATTTAGGAAACGGAGAGGAACGCAGGTGGAGCGGGTGCAAACATGTTTCGCAGTTTGTTAATTACACGCTCCTTATCGTGCAATCGTCCATCGGTGATACAGTATGGGAAATTAGTCTTTAGCCGTTAAATGGAGTTAGATCTAATCATAAGACATCGAGGTCGATGAGGGAGGTGGGATGGAAAGGGCGGGAAAAGGACGAAGGAATGGGTGGATGCGCGTGGATGCTGGTGGGCAAAGTAGAGAGACTGGTATCCGAAGCTAAATCCAATTATATGCACAAAGCGAGGGCTGCAGGCCGCAACTACCACAAGGACAGGGCAGGAATTGAGGATAGGAGGGCGAGAGAAGGTACAGAAATTCTCTACACGTGGATAAACCCATGTTACATCTCTCTGGGAAAGGGGACCGGGTCCCGTGACTCGCCTACCGCCGTTGGAATTAGATTTTGCTTATTTTCGTCGTTGCGAGAGTGCATCCTCCCCCCTCTCGCTCGTAGCATCCTCATCTGTCCTGTCTGTCTCCCTCTATCGATAATCGCGGTCTGAATTTCAACGAGTTACGCTCTTTATGCATGTTTGCCCGGGGCTTTCTTTGTCCTGCCGTTGCGTCGACGTACTGGCCACCGCAAAACAATTTACAAAGGAATTTCGGAATGGGTTCGCGACGTTTCGCAATACCAATCCCGCAGGGGCAGGCAACTTCCCCGGGAAACTATTTCAAAATAATTTCCGGCGTTACGCCCCGGCGTGCGACGTGGAATTTTTAACAAAACGATCGACTTTGTTGACGTGGGAATAGTTTCAGAAATTAACGTCGTCATTAACGAAATTGTGCCTGTTGTAATCTAGAATTCTAGGGGAAAATTACTTTCAGTCAAAAAGTTGTATGAAAATATTGTTCGCGCGTTGGTTAGCGGGACGAGATGTATGTTGTTCGTTTTATTGTTAGCATATTTTTGTCGCGCGCCTGATTATCAAGGGATGGTTCCCTTCGGTGGTAATATTCGATCGAGAGCTGAACTGCACCGTCGCGAAGCCAAAAGAATTCTGCTTCTTAGGCCGATGTTTGAGAAAGTTTCCACGTACGAATCCCATCTGATCGCAATAAAGGATTTGCGAGCATCAATTGACCTGGGCCCTTAGTAGCTCCAAGTCGCCTTGACCACCTGGGAGAGCTTTGTTTTATACCTGACAAGGCCCTCGACCGTGATATAAGGCAGTTTTTCCCTTCCCGGATATCGACAACACATTTGGCCAATGTCACGTTGAAATAACGGATAACATCGGCCACACAAAGTCCGCCTTGGAGCCGAAACTTTCCCGATCAAATATTATTTAGTTCGTGGCGTAGATGCGTTTATTGATACTTAGCAGACAATAATAGATTTTCACCTCGTGATTTTTTTTTTTATTTTTCCGTTGTTTTCTTACACTTGACAAAGTGTGTTATTGTCTTTTCGTTTTACTTTACTTTGGCTCAGCATGCGAGAAGACTATTGAACTCGTTTTAACTACTGACTTTTCCTCTATGTCCACAGACGAAGGATGCTATCGCTGAAAAATGCTTGCTGCCTCCTTTGAAGGATCAGGAGGTCGATGCAGAGGTAAATCAAGAGTCCTTACTCTCTTGCGATCGCTCAACAATGATCCTTTTTCTGATATCTCTTTGTACGATTGTCCGAAAAAGGGAATTCTCCTTGAGATGCTTTCATCCATCTTACCATCTTTATTGATTTGATCTGCTGGATCGATAATGGCCGTTGCATCTCAGCGCAAAAATTCTAGCGTGCATTTAAGAGGAAAACAAAAATCCCATCAGTCCCATTTTTATACCTTCAAATAAAACTTTACCTCTTGTTTCTCCTTAAAGTGAAACATATTTTCCAAGTCTTATCTCAATTGATTAATATTGTCGATACAAACGATGATTTTTATCGCAACAGATGCAAGATGACTCGATGCGTTCGACAGTAATTGAGGATCAAGGATCAACTATACAAAAAAATAGGGATACGAGTGGCGACAGATATTCAAAGAAAAACCATAACGTTTGCAAGACATCATTGTCGAGAAGATCGTCTAAGAAATTCGAACGAACATCGAGTTTCTGTTCGTCGTTAAATTCGTACGACGTCATTGAAGATTCATATTTGGAGTCCCTGAGGCAACGTCATCTTTACGAGAAGGAGATGGTAGACCGTATTATAAACCAAACACTACGCTCCTAACTATAGGGAGCATAACATCATGAATAATTTACTCCCTGTTTAAAAAGCTGCGAACTTAAAGTGTGTTCTTAATTGGATCTTAAATAAAACGGAAGATGGCTACGGCGTCGTGAAATTGGGAAATTTCACATAAATGTGAAAACGTTTTCTTTGATACAGGTAACAGGATGAATCGTGGGCTATTGCAAGCAGTTTAACGAGGTAAAGGTAACGTTGTTGTCAATCTAAATTTAAAAATATTAATAAATGATGAACGATGTGTACATTTTATACTCGTAATCGATCGAAAGTTTAATTCCAATGTAGAAAAATATGCGAAACAAAATTTAATTGTCAAGCGTTCTACACTCGACAATTAAACTCGAATTTCTGCATTCACAAAAACTATATTGTTAAATTTTCTTCGCAGAAAGGACTCGCGTCATTGATTATTTCAACGAACGAATACATTTACATTTTCATTGGAAACCGACGAGTCCTCGCTAAAAACACGTTTAAAGTGGTTGTGAAAGCATTTTACATAAATCAACCATTGATGCTGGTCGTCCATCGTTTTTTCCCAATCTCTTGCCGCGCGGGAATCTGCAGTTTCAATCGTTTTCTGCTATCATCGCGCGACTTTTCACGGACAAGACGTTCTTAAATAAATCACACTCGAATGCCGCGCACTCTAGAGATTAGACGATTGATAAAATATTTAAACGTAATTCCATCTATGTGACTTATTCATTAAATGTTACCTCAGGGTTCATAGTTGATGGAACGGACTAGCGGCTATGGCGCGGCGCTTACACAGCTGGTCAGGCATAACTATGTGCACTTTTCTATTCATACTGACAACTAGACTGTATGATACACCGGGGAATGGACCGGCACCACCGGCACAAGCTGTCTCGCCGAATTCAGAAATTATTCAACGCTTTTTGACGTCTCGAGTGACCTGACGGTTTGGCCAGCCAGGAATTCTAAGCTGTGTCAAGGTTCCATCGGGCGAATCTTACGGACCATTTTTATCAGTGGAAAAAGAATTTACCGGTCTTCGGGGCCAAGAACTCGGAGCTGTCCATCTCTCTTTCTCCTCCCTGCCTGCCTCCGTTCTATATCGCGAGCGACGAACAGGTAATCGGGTTCGTGAAAAGATTTTAATTCAGACCAACGTCGACCGTTTTTTTTTTTTTTTTTTTTTTTAACATTGTTCGAGACCGAACGTTCGTTGATTACTTCGGCGAGAGAAACGGGTGAACATTTTTGGGGAAACTGAACGTGCAACGGGCAGCAACAGTCTGGAAAGTTGGATTCTGACGCGGCTATTTAATTTCCGCACGGCGGACTGTTGTTATCAAGTTCAAGTTTTAACGTGTTATCTTAGGGACAGGAGAAAGGTAATCATGCAAATACGATAACACGCTGTCCACGGCTTTCCTAAGGCTTTAAATGTTGGACAGAAGTTAAATTGAATACGTCCCCGACATTTATTCAAAGGATACCACGGCGTGGTGGGATCCCTTTTGAAATGTCTGTGCCGAAATTCTCGCGTGAAAGTATCGCGACGGTGAAATTGAATTTTAACTCGACTTAATTGAATTGAGATCGAATGCGCTAGATCGCGCCATTCGGTCTGATGCTTGAGGCTGAAACAAGTGGGGCTTGACAACGAATCATAAATTGACTCTTGATTTTATTAGCAAATTTTTCAACATTAATTTCTAGCATTCGTATAAAATGGAAATTCTATTTAGATCTCTTAATATCTACGAATATATATAAATATAAATATAAATATAAATCTCTCTGAGTTTCGAGGTAGATTCGCTCAACTACAATATTAAATCAGTAAGTACGAAATTTCGTAAACGAAAATTCCTAACGTATACTCGGATGTTAGTTACTTCTCGTACAACTATTACAATCGATAATTTTCATTTTTAACCTTGTTTTAACGTACCAACCTCCCCCTTTTAAAATGACAATATTCCCGTCTTCGCGGGTGGAAAATCTGCCGAGCGATCCGTATTGCAGTAGAAATCGTCATTGAGAAAATTGTCATCGGCTAGCGAGATATTCGTTAAACAGGGATATTCGTCCAGGAAGGGTGAGTCGATAATGGAGTCCTCGGTCCGTAACGACGGTCTGCGAGTCGCGGCGCCGCGAGCTGCCTGCACAGAAGCCGATGCGCGTGAATTAGCGATGCATCCCGAATAGATTTATCGCGACCAGATTAAGATTGACCCCCAGGAGAGAGCTAAAGGAAATAATCGATTTTCCCTGGTTGCGCCCGCGCGGCCGTCGACTCGCGGCCAGCACCCCTGGTGGTGGTTACGTGACACTAACGTGAACTGTCTACGTGGACAAGGGAAAGTCGGTGGCGCGTGGGCGTGGTCGTGGTAGTGACGTGAACAGTGCTCACGTGCGTGCGTGCGTGTTGCGGCGTTTTGTGCGCGGCCTGATGCTGAATGCACGGGGCGCGAGGCCAACGACAGGGGTTGGCACGGACTGATTTCACCATCAGACTGCCGCCAAGCGGGGAGGTCTGTCTCGCGTGCCAACACACATCAATGGTTCAGGTGAGTGGCGTGAGTGATTCCTTATTTTCCGAACGATTTTCGCCGGCAAGTTGATGGTCGATGATCGTGGAACGTGGATCGCGTTATCGCGGGGCTCGGAACCCTCTACGCGAGGAACGTCGTCGTCGTGTGTTGTTTCGCGAATAAACGACCTTCGCGTCCGAGATGTCGCCACTGCGGGATAGACGATACCACTGTGTCACGTGGCTTGGTATCATTGCACCCTCGAGTTCGCCGCGGTTCGCCGGGGGTTTGCTTTTGAAACTTTTGAAGCGTAGATGCAGAGAACTTGCTACATTCAGCGTAGAATTGAAGGATGGTGCGAAATTTTCGTTTTTAAATTAAACGTGATATAAAATTTCTGATATCGAGATTTTTGCATATGGCATGGGCATATTTTGCAATACAAGCGCGGCTATGAAAAAAAAATTATATTAGGAAAAACGCAAGATTTAACACTATTTATTTCGACTTTATTAAGAAGTATTTTATTTTCAACTAATGGGATCAGTTTTTACTTTTTTTTGCAAGTCAATACCACTTACTGGTATACAGACTTTTTTAATTGATTCCATAGGGCTAAGATCTTGTCACGTTTCGTTACGGCACATGCGTTTAATAGTGTTCTTATATCGCGTGATCGTCTACCATTCTGACAAATCATGATAGAGGTTTGCTCACGACACTTGCTAAATTTAATTCAAGCTGGCTTCGATGCCATAAAAAAATCGATTGTATTCGTTTGATCGGGGATATTTTAATGAAACTTTGCCTTGCTTACACGTATGTTATATTTCTTTTATTACGTATTATTCATTACAAGGTTCTTTGAACAGAGAAAGTTCGATAGTACGCGCCTTGTTAGGTTGATAAGATTATGCAATTTTAAACATCATTTCGAAATCCCTTCGAAACCATCGCAATGCAATCTCTGCACTTGTGATACTCGATGTAGAATTCGATGTAATAATAAGAAAAATACTGTCACTTTTACAAACATCAGATTTCATTCTATCTAATTGTAAGATATATACTGAAACATAACATACAACAAATAATTCGTCTTCGCAAGAAATAAACGACCGAGCTACAAATTAGAATCTAAATTCGAATCTTTCACTCACCTTGTATTTCAGTCGACTCGATTGTCTTAAAAAGTAAAACGGAGCAAGTTCTTTTTTTACTTCTCAAATCAGTCATTATTCACACTCGTTATCCGCGCTATCGTTATCACATAAATATCTAATCTCCATCGAATGGCAATCCTCCAAAGGAATATTTTAGTCGTAACTATTGCTGTATAGCTACATAACGTCGTTTGTTTCCTACCATGGTTATTATAGTTGTCCTA